CAGGATTCAGGGCTTCTTCGCCTTTGAGATTGTATACTCTGTGACCCTCGCCGTCATCAAAGCCTCGATACTGTTCCTCTACTTGCGCATTTTTGGAGCACTCACCGAGACTTTTCGTCGAATCCTATGGGCGACACACATCTTCAACGTCGTCGTATGCGTCACATTTGTCATCGTCAACCTGAACCAATGCAAGCCTCTAAGCTATTTCTGGTTTGGGTGGGACGGTAGACATCCCGGTCATTGCATTGACTTGTCTGCCATGGCTCTGTCCCATGCGGCCATCAATATTGCTCTCGATCTCTGGATGCTGGTTTTGCCTGCGACGCAAATCTACAAGCTCAACTTACAGAAGAGGCAGAAAGCAGGGATCATGTCCATGTTTGGCGTGGGAATCTTGTGAGTCCAGTCGTCCATGTTACATTTACCTTATTTCGACTAACCTGTATGGCACAGCATCACAATTGTCAGTGCTGTTCGCTTGCGTAGTGTAGCGCAGTTCAACAAGTCGTGGAATCCAACCTGTAAGCTCCACGGCAATCAATTGTCATTGCATGCTTCTTACTAACGTTCCATCCTCAGACGACTTCTTCGGCCTGGCACTTTGGTCTCATATCGAGCTTTGCGTTGGAACAATTGTTGCATGCATGCCTGCAGCCCGAGCCCTCGTCCGACGACTCTTCCCCGAGCTCCTCTACGTCACCAACATTTCTACGAACAGAACTTCTACCAGAGCTTCCGGCAACGTCAAGATCGTGTCCCAGGACATTGCAACCATTGCCACAGATGATCTCGCTGAGAGTTCGACCGCAAATTCTACGAAGAAAGACTCGCTGGCTACCTTGACGCCCGATCGGGTACCGTTGAGGCGACTTACTACAAGCGATAGCTTGCTGCAGATCTCCCCCAGCGACAGGGATCGCTCGCTGTACGGGGACTCACAGAAGGGAAGCAAGCTCAGCGATTGGTAATGCCTGTTTGACTATATGTATCCGTAAACGACAATGTTGGTGGTAATGGGACTGGTGGAGGATTGTGAAAAGCATCGACAATACCCTTACTGTACTGCGAAGCAGACTGATATTTAGATTTCTTTGGAGCGATGAATTAGGATGTAAAGTAACAATCAGAAAACAAGGCAAAGAGAACACAAAGATCTGCACGTTTCAGATGCTCAGAATTTCCGCCGCGCGGGAGATTGCAGAAGCGCTTTTCTCCACCCATTCTTTTGCCTGTGTCTCGTTGCCAGAGTTGAGACTATCTTGCACGGCGGGGAAGACATCGGCGCCGTAGCCATTATCAAGGCCGGGGGCGCTGATGACATTATGGAATGTCGGGCGCCCAGGAAGACCGCCAGCGCTTGCAAAGCCACGTGAAAAGTCTCGGTACTTGCCGTTGATCACGTCGATAAGGACCGTGTCGTTGAAGGTGAGGGCTTGCTTGGCGACTGTGGCGATGCGCTCTGCTGCGGCCTCGAACTCGGTGATTGCGTCGTTGATGGGCGATAGGCTCAGGTCGGGGTAGTCCTCGGCAATGGTCTCGTTGAGGTCCTCGAAGTACGTTCGGAGCACGCGTCCGGCATTGGGTAGATCCCATGGAATGATCACATCATCGGCGATGTGATACGCAATCAAGGTGAGCCACTGGCCCATTACGCGATGGATCTTGAATCCTGGGTCTCCAAATTTTGCCATCCAGGTGTACGAGTCGTAGTGCCTGTTCTCCATCAGTCTCATACACCACAGATATCATGTGAAGTCCTGAAATTTACCCGTGGTAATGGTAGACGGGATCAGTCTTTCCCCCATCAGATCCGATATCAATCTTGTTTTTGTTTCAGTCTCAATTACCATGGAATGGGTATATCAGGACACTTACCGCACTTATACCGTTGTGGTAAAACGAAGCATAATCACTGCCGCTTCCTAGAGGAGGAATCTCACCCTCCGTGGTGTTGAACCACATGTCATACAAGGTTGGGCCGACGCCCCAGTCTTCTGGGAAAAGAACTTTTTTCATCATCTCAATGGCAACTGTCTGGATCTCACCTGACCCAGACAGAGCAGTCCGAGGTCCCGAAACAGCAACATCGAGGTTCAAATAAGCGACAGCGTTCGTCACGAGCCAAGGCAAGTGACTTTCTACCCATTCAGTCGACCCTTGCAAGCCAAATTCTTCGGCATCCCAAGAACCCAAGATACTAGACGTCACATGAGCCATGGCTCCTCACTTACTTAATGAGGCCGAAGAGAATACACTTACATTGTGCGGCGGGGCTTCCATCCCTTATCCAGGAGCTTTCCGAATGCTTTAGAAAGCTCTATCAGAACCGCGGAGCCGGAGTTGGGATCCGCTGCACCCCCAATAACCCACGCGTCGCGATGATTTCCGATGATGAGCACTTCGTCGGGATGAGTTCCGTTGATGATGCCAATGACATCCCAAGAGGGTGCGACGGTTTGGTTCATGAAATGGACCATGTCAAGAGTGGCACCTGGTGTTGGGCCGCTGCTGTAAGTGATGTTCGGTAACGCCCCGATCCAGCTGCTGCGGTTAACCTGCTCGGCGGATAAGCCGCTTCCATCAAGAGCGGCGAGTAAGGGTACCGCATCTTTCATGCTGATGGGCACGGATGGAATGGTTGGGTTGTAAGATGTCACGTCGTTCCTTGGGCCGTCCTTCTCTGAGGCATATCCGACTGTAGAGGGGTCACCTGAGTACAGCGACGAGAAACGGACGCTGCCTCTCTGGATCATGGAAGGGTTTCGAGCTGGGCCATCTAGGGCCACCGAATGAGTCAGTCAAGTCTAGCTTTTGTGGAATATTTAGGACCAGGGACCATAACGTTGACTGACCTGGGTACGCAAGATAGCCATTGGCAACGGTGATTTCTCCGTCGTCAAGAGGGTCGGTGAAGAGGACAGCCCCGATCATGCCGTTGTCCTAGATTGTTAGGGTTTCGAAACAAGCCCCCCAATTGAGTCAGATTTATTACCTGTGCGTTCTTCACTTTGGTCCCTCTGTAAATTGCACCATACATGGACAGCGCGATTTTGCCTTCCAGCTCAATCCCAGCATCTTTCAAAGCTTGAAAGTCTCCCCGTTGTCCGCGACTACATCTCAAAGTCAGTTACAAGAATGGCGGTTACTTCGTGACACAAAGGTCCAACATACCCTACGTAGACATATTCGGCACTGATACTGCCGCTTCCACTCATCGCATGGTAGGCCGGGATTCGGTTGGGATAGCTCGTTGTAGGATCTTCTTCCAGCATGTCCTCAATCAAACTGACGTTGTGGCTACTTCCATCTGGTCTGCTCAAACTCAAGGTAGTTTCAAGCGGAGCAGTATACCAGATCCAATACTCCTCAATGGAAGCATCCCAGCCAGCATCAATCCACTTTTGCTGTGTCCACTCAGCTTGAGTCCGGTTGTGCCCACCGAGATGATCTCCAGATGTGTAATAGTAAGACCATTCGTCTAGCGATTTGCTGTCAAACGAGTTCACAAGTATCGACTCATGCTCTGTAAGGGAAGGTGGGTACTCCACTGCCATATCTCGCTTCTTATGTCCATGCTCATGGTGACTGTGGCGCTCGATTCGGCGGTTCAGGGCGGCCCAGTCGCGCTGGCAGGCGTAGATACCTGTGGCTATCAAGGCCAATGGCAGAAGAGTTTGTCGCATGACGAAGCTACCACAGGATTCCCACCATGGACTTGATAATCACGAAAGTCCGGTGTCATCTGAGTGATGCTACCTCTTCAGACATGTCTAAGTTACTTATAAAAGTGCACTCTTAAAAAGTGTCGTATGCTCATCACATCATGAACCCCTCTTCCAGGGGTCCAAAGTTCCATAAGCAAGCATAATCAAGGCAGTTCACAAGGAACGACATCGAAGGCCAATGCCTTGAGTCAATCTTACTTACAAAGCCCGCATATCCCGCATCTCACCATGCCTACGTGACATTCTGCGAACTTCCTATCTGGCGTAGCGTTCATGTAATGCAACATGAGCCAGCGGTGAATCAGTCGAGTTCAAGCAACCAAACTGCAGCTTATATCTCCGGAGGATTGGCTGGTGGTGAGGGGTAGTATGAATTTGGTGATCTCAAGCGTGGGGTAGATCTTGGCGTACGTAGTCACACGCATGATGAGTTGACTGACACTCTTCCTTGCAAAGATGCTATCGGCTCTGTATGCTGTAGAAGCCGAAGGTAAACTCACAATACTCGAAATACTTCAAGCCGTTATCGGATATCATAACCCGCTAGACTCGATGTGCAATGAATCATATCTGAACCGTTATATCCGGAATAGCCACGATAGCGTAAATTTCGATGTCAAATTCTCCATTGAGTCTGATTCAACAAAACAACTTTGAAAGCTAGTTCTGGAAGATGGCTTTCCTCCGTCGCAGGTTAGTCTGTCTTAGTCAGGGAGGAGACTAGAGTAGAGGCTACAACTACAAGCCACGACAACGCGCCAGACTAGCCGGTCGAAAAGTCCATCAATGGCGACGAAGCTAAGCCTGTTCAGTCTTTGATGGGAATAATACGGACGCTCAATCATGAGTGAAGATCGGATGTCTCTAAAACACAGCAGCCAGAGCTGCTAAACAGACATGCCCTGAACGGATGAGACACTAGACACGGGATGGTGCATCGAGAAGGAAGGTGTGATAACCAGCAGAAGTCCTACTGCCGGGATTTCGATATATACGAATGCAGGAAAGAAGAATCTCAATTATGTTTGCTCAAAGTGAGTAGTCAAGTGGGAAGTTCACTGTCAGCGATCATGAGATGAGATTCATGAGATGAGATTCATGAGTGAGAGGCATCAGGAGCAAAGGGTAGAAGTTTGAGCGGAGTTTCCCCGGCGCACGTCCCGTTCCAGGCATCCTAGCTCAATCCCGAGATACTTCCTCCTGCTGCCAACTTTGCGTGTATGTGAAGTAGCCTCGGCTAAACCGCCCCGCCAGCTGCACTCCAGCTGCTTCTCCGCATCAAAGCGTCATCGCCCGAGAGCTCCAGCTCCAAGCTCCCTCCAAAGCTCCGAGAGCTCCACCAGATCTCACGCGATCCACTTCCCATCTGCAACCACCATCCATCCAGTCATTGGATCTCTCCTTATCAACATACACACGCACACATCTCGATTCTCAGCTGGCTGGTTTCGTCTATCGCCTTATCGCTACAGCTTTATCCATAGGCCACCATCACGCAATCGCTCGTCATGTCGGAGAAGGCGCCGCTGATCCCGGAGCCGGAGCAGCGCGTATCCTACGGCCGGCCCACGCGGTGCCCGTACGCCCAACGGTGCTCTGCGGGGAAAGCCGTAGTCAAGGTCTTTGTCCTGGCTACTGCTGCCGGTTTGCTGTACTACAACATCCCGCAGAGTTCGTGAACCCTCGTATGACTTTGTAGACGGTCACTAAAATCTGTTCATGTAGCTCAGAAACCCATCCACGAAGAGAAGACGCCCGTTTGCATGACACCGGCTTGTGTTCATGCCGCTTCGGAGATCTTGTACAACCTATCGCCAGACTACAAGGAGCTGGACCCATGCAGCGATTTTGAGGAGCTCGTCTGCGGAGGATGGAGAGACCGACACGACCTTCGTGCCGACCAAGGCGATGCCTTCACCGGCACCATCATGTCCGAGAACTCAGAGCTGCTGCTTCGTCACATTCTTGAGGCGCCATACCCCAAGGACTCTCAGGTGAGCACCATCAAGTCGTAGTCAACGTCATTTGCTAATTGATTTGTAGCACTCGTACTTCTCGCCCCTCCGTCTGGAATCCACCGATAAGTCCGCCGACGAGCAGAACTTTGACAAGATGAAGGCTTCGTACGATGCCTGTGTTGACGAGGACAAGATCAAGGAGATCGGCGTGGAGCCCCTCATCCAGATTCTGGACGAGATCAAGAACAGCTACCCTATTGAGGCGGCCACCTCTGTCGATCCTAGCCCGACCAAAGACACAATTCTTCTTCTTTCCAGATACGGAGTAAACGCTTTCATTACATCTGGAACCGGTGCGGACGACAGAGATCCCGATACTGTTGTTGTTTCTGTCGCACCTCCTTACAACCTGGGACTTCCCTCAAAGGAGCGATACGAAGATGAGAAGCTTGTCGAGAAGTACCGCGGAGTTGCTGTTGAGGTTCTCGGCAACCTCTACCCCGATGGAAACAAGGACAACTTTGCCAAGGTCGTTGATCTCGAGAAGCTTCTGGCAGCCGCCTCCCCTCCCACCGAGGAGCTCGAGGATGTTACTGTAAGTAGTCCGAACATCACCACTACTGGAGTCTGAAGGAACTGACACTTGAACAGAAAACATACAACCCCATGCTCATTGACGAGGCATCTGCTCTTGCTCCTGAAATTGAGCTCACGGCCTTGATCCACGATCTCGTCCCCGAGGGCTTTGTCGTTGAGCGTGTCATCGTGATGTCACCCAAGTACATGACTGAGTTGTCTACCATTCTTTCCGGGACCGACAATGAGGTTATCCAGAACTACTTCGTCTGGAAGGCTATCCAGTCCCTTGGTTCCTACGTCGACGCCGATGCTCTCAAGCCCTACAAGCACTTTAAGAACGAGCTCGCTGGAAAGGTAAGCTTGAAGCCATTCGTTCGATTAGCATGGCACTAATCTATCCAGGACCCTGAGTCTGCCCCTGAAAGATGGCGCACTTGTGTTGGTCATGTCGATGATGGCTTGGGATGGATTCTCAGCCGCTTCTTCGTTGAGAAGGCCTTTTCGGCCGAGGCAAAGAAGTTTGGCGACACCATCATCACCGATATCAAGACCGAGTTTACGAAGAAGCTCAAGGCCGCCAAGTGGATGGATAAAGAGACAACCACCAAGGCCATGGAGAAGGTTCAGAACATCATCCAAAAGATCGGCTACCCGACCAAGAGCCCCGACATCATGGACCCTCCCAGCCTCAACGACTTTTACAACTCCGTCGACATCAACCCGGATACTTTCTTCAAGAACGCACTCGCCGTTCGCAAGTTCGCCGTGGGCTACGAGTGGTCAGCCCTCGGCAAGCCCGTCGACCGGGAGCAGTGGGGGATGACAGTCCCTACTGTCAATGCCTACTACAATCCTCCCGGCAACGAAATCGTCTTCCCGGCCGGCATTATGCAGTTCCCCGTCTTCGACGTTGAGGTCCCTGCCTATATGTCTTACGGTGCCTTTGGCTCTGTCGCTGGGCACGAGCTCAGCCACGCCTTTGACTCCACCGGCCGCCACTATGATCAGAACGGCAACTACACTGACTGGTGGTCAGACGCCACTGTTCAGGCATTCAAGGACAAAGCTGAGTGCTTCGTCGAGCAGTACTCCAACTTCTCTGTGCCAGGACCGGACGACAAGCCTCTCCATGTCAATGGACGCCTCACACTTGGCGAGAACCTTGCCGATGCCGGTGGACTTTCGGCCTCATACCAGGCCTGGAAGCGCCGTGCCCACAAGCACCCCAACAAGGATCTGCCGGGCCTTGAGCACTTCACGCAAGATCAGCTCTTCTTCGTCACGTACTCCAACTGGTGGTGTGGCATGTCTCGGAAGGATACGGCCATCAACCGGATCTATACTGATCCTCATGCGCCCAAGTGGGCCCGCATTCTTGGCACTATGTCCAACAGTCGTGAGTTCAAGGAGAGCTTCCAGTGCAAGGACAAGAAGCCCACCTGTGAGCTGTGGTAAGACACTTTGATGGGAACTTTGGATATTAGTAGACGTTCTAAGAAAGGGTACGTCGTGCTTGCGTGTATAGTACCTTATGTACGGTATATCACAGAATGGAAATCACTGGCTGGCATGAGAATTCATTGACAAGTCACTGCATGTGGTGCGAGTGGGACTATGATTCTTGCCTTGGCATGCTGGCGTGCACCTATGTGGAAAAAGAAAGACATTCGCATAATGACGCAAGGCGAGTGATCGACAGTACCAATGGCGCTAGATGGGTTAAATCACAAACTGAAGCCATTGAAGTCATCTTCGTGGATGCATGTAGGCGCATATCGGGTCTATCAGCGGCTACTGAAAATTAGACCAAGGTTCATGAACGTTTGGTTATCCAGCCCCTGATCTACCGGGGTCAGTCTACGAAACCTGTGTCTTCCACACTTGTCTTGCTGTCAAACTAGTACTTGCAGTGGGGTCCCATCGCTCAATATAGTGACCCCCTGAGTTGAATTTGGAAATACTCCAAATGCTCATGGACCAGTCAGCAAGTGGAAGAACAAGCCCTTGGTCAAAAGGAAATTGTACACAGGATACACCTGTCTGTACTCTATCGTCGACTGCCGGAGGGAGTAGATCGGAGTCGGCGAAAATCCAGGGGCAATGTAATATAATCCAATATCAAAGATCAGGCCGCTGCTACTCTCGATGTTGACGGGCCCCCATTCCTAGAGTGCATTTTATGGATTACTCCGGGCCCTTGGGAAGCATCAAAACCGACTCCTCCCAGCTGTCCCAACTTTGGATAATCTAATCGATGCAAGATCGCACGAGCTTAACGTGAAAAGGGTTATTACTCGAAAGATCGAACGAACCACTGTAAATAATCACGACATGAAAAAGAAGAAAAAGCTGCTCCGTGAAATTTTCGTGAGAATCTCGGATCTTCGATGAGCCTTGATATCAGTGATGCCTTTCAAAGAGTTATATCTGGTTGTCCTGAAATAGCTGCGACCGTTGAGGTCACAAATACCAACACAAATAGGAAGCCGATCATCGATGTCGTTGGAATATCGGTGAACGTGATAGGCTGCAAAGGGCGACTGCTGACTTTGCAGCTTACCTGAGCTTATCTAGCTAGCAGCCTGGCAGGCAACTAGAGAGCCAATAATAACCCAGAAGTGAAACTCTTACAGTTCAGAGGTTCGCGGAAACATCAATATGTGGAACTGTTCTAGACAGTGATGGAGCCCTACTGTCTGTGGTATCTCGATTCGAGGGGCTCTTTGATTGTGGATACCGCGGTGTTAGTGTCTGCGTTGTTCAACTCCTTGAGACAGGCCGGCCCCAGGGGTCACCGTTTCGCAATTGTCGAGGGCGCGAGATTATGGGGCGCTGCCAGCCCCGTTGGATGGAACTTTTTTGATGTTTCTATTCTTATTCAATGGGGGAGATAGGGCTTTCAGCGCTGACTTGGATCGGTACGGGGTATCTTGTCCGGCGGTCTTTGGTTTTTGCCACATGCACCTATTCAAATTCAAGCTCGGGCATGATAGGCCCGACATCGAAACATTCAAAATCTACCAATGAAGCCACCTATGTGATTATTATGGTGACAATGTGTGACACTAGAGAAATGGATGTCGTAGATAGACTATTCACTTTGCTAGTTATGACCAATATCTGCAGTGTCTGGTCTTGGCACCTGCTCGTTATTGACTTCATCAACAGCAAACCGGGGCACTGGATCACCACTGCATATGTCTCCGGTCATGGAGAGCACCTTTCTCATCTCTCTCCATTGAAGATAGAAATGCCGCATCGAGAAGCTCGCTATTTCGATGTTCATCCCGCGCGGTATGCTCCCTACGGACACGAAAACGTGCGGTACTCAATTGCAGTAGGCAGACGATTGTTTATCTGACACCATGGCAGGCTTCTTTTTGAGCCAAGACCCTAATGATGACTTGCCATATTCGTCCAGGGAGGTGCGGGAGGTCCCTAGCTTCCATATACGGGCCTGCCGATGATGGTTACATTGCAGAATTTTCCCACGTACACTTGCGTTCTTGAGTGGATGAATGTGGCATCGCGATAGATTGCCATGTCAACAGGCGGCGACTAGGATAGATTAATCGGAGGGTGTTCAAAAAATCAGACAGAGGAATGAAGCTTATTCTATATTGCTTTACGAAATTCAGGGCCGCAAACCCTCCTGCCCCTGAACCTTGGCTTCGCTGCACGACTCGTCGACGGTGGCCCGGCCATCTTTCGTTGGCCGCTGCCGGAGGTAGCCCGCCGGAAGATACGCCGGGCCAGACCCGTCCAGTCGGGTTCCGTGCACGGAGCAGCGAGGGGGGAGGACGCCGACATGGAGGGATGGTATTCGTAGGAAAATGTTTGTTGAGTCAGGGCCCAGGGGTTATGGGTTGTCGGGCATCGACGCTGATTGATAACGACATGGAACGTGTCCAAACCCGGCCACTTTCACATGGTTGCGAGATATTGCGCCAGACTCCAGACAGCAGAAGGTAACCTGGTCCCAGCAGCCAGGAACACAGCGCGGTGACCCGGACATGGGAGACTTGCCGGCCGCATCGGGGCTTTACGGAGGGCCACAAAATTTTCGGTCTATAGGTCGGCGGTTCAATGCTCCGTTGAATGCTTTGCAAGTACGTTTTGGAGAGAAAAAAAAAAAAAGAGAAAATTGGGGGGTACGTTTCTCCGCTAGGGAAGGTGCTTGGATTTGTTGGACATGATCCCTGGTAGCTTTGATCTTGCAAAGATCGTGCCCAAAGCACTTCACGTTCAGAAACGACATGGAGAGGAAGCAGAAAACAGAAGGCAAGACCCAACACGGTCTTCTTCATCCTAGTCTACTAGTAGCGCGCGCAAAAGAGAGCCGGTAATCCGCGGTGACAGGTTCAGGTCCCGTAGGCTAGCGTACAGATAGACAGCGATGGGAAATTTTGAGCAATTTCAATTTCGACATGTACGAAGTACTGAGTACCTACCTACCGGCACCGGATGATCTGCAACTTTGCATGTCCTTGGTCTTGCTTGGACAACCGACAAAGTCCATTACTGCCAAGAAGACTCCATCAATAGAACGCTCCACAGGAGATGTCACGGTGTAGATACAGCAAATGTCCCAGGTTGCCAGGATAATGAGGAATGGGTGATGGATGGTTGATGGATCAAGAGAGTCGTGGTTGACGATGCAACTGGTACCTTTCGACGGCCGGACTGGACGGACAAACTTCTTCCTCGAAAGAAAAGTGGTGCGAATGGAGGCCCGACGCGTCAACATTTACTTGGCGGTAGTGCTCACCACTACGATATGGAGATGTGAGAGGGCGGTGCATCAAGGCAGACCGTGCGATGCGATAGTCGCCGCTTGGTGTTTCTGCTTGTTTCCCTCACGCAGCCTTTACAGATGCACACCACCTAGCAAGTCTCGTTGTGGTTGAGTGGGTTAGAAGTGAGGCTCTCGCCAAGAGGTAGTGTCCACTGCCACGGCGGGAAGGTAATAGTTGATGAGTCCGTCCCTCTTATCATCGACATGGACCCTCTTCTATGATGCGGCGGTGCATTGCCAATGTTGCTAACACGGCAGTGGAGGCAGCCGGGCAATGCTTATCGTCGCACCGCGGGCGTTGAGTCGGACGTTTCGAGGTGCGCCTTGGCGATGCGGCGGCGGTGTCGCAGTCGTAGTGTAGATGTGATCGTCCTGCACTGGTTAGCTGGCACCGCTGGCTGCATTACAACAGTTAGACATGAAGAAAAGCCGCCTTGGACTCCGTTGACCGGTTGTGGGCTTCGCTGAAGCGCGATGTGGGCAAGGGGAAGGTAGAAGATGGGGATCTTCCTACTTGGCGCTGGGCGGTTGGTAGATCATTTCACCCAATCTGGCCAAGAGATTGAGCAAGAAGAAGAAGCTACCGGAACGGGTTGATGCAGATGCAGATGCGCAAACCCACCGGCGCCCTATTGAGAGCCAAGTCAGCAAGCGAGGAACTTCGAAATATGCTAGACGAGATCGCATGGGCAGGGCGTTTTGCTTGTTGCACCGGACTTTGCCTCAGAGAAATACGTGCTCTTGACTTGCCTCTATTGGCGATATCCCGTTCGCGATGCATCATCTTGGCGTTCCATACACCTTTTGCCTTGAGAGCTTCATTGGGTTGCGGTGCACAATGAACTGCTCCGTGAGGAGACACCGCCACTGTTTCTGTGTTGGTGTGGAGCAATCAGTTGCGTTAGAACGCCAAGTTGCTTGCTCGGGAGATGTGTTGCATTATCGACGCTTCGCTCGCGATTGAACATGAAAACAAGACGCGAGGCGAGTGACAACCGGATTGTGGGTTCAAAAGAAGAAACAAGAGCCAAGAGTTCACGAGAATAGAAACTGGTGGCTCTAGGAGTTTTGTACGTTTAGCATCTCTCATAGCGCACATCATTCAGCTCTCTACCGCTTCAGTCTGCAGGGCCGCCAGCATTCGTCTGAATTACTCAAATGTTTGTGAGCTGCTCCTATCCGGCATCGTGTGGTGGTATTTTGTTTAAGCCTCACACGCAGAGAGAACGGGAACTTCACCGAGCACCTTTGAGAATCTCTGTGGTCTAGAAATAAGCCAGCTATGATCTGCGGTTGCACTTATGCACACCCTCTTTCTGCTCAGTCTGATGGATGGATGGATGGCCAAGGGGCCAAGACATCTAGGACCACGTTTTGTGGCGGCTGTCTGTGTGTGGTCTTGTCACTCGCCAGTGTCCAGTGTTCGCTGTCACTAATATCAGTAGGCTTACTCCGTAGAGGGCATTGAACAATGAATTGTCATCACTGTCACTTTAGGCTCGAACGGCACGGCTCTGTGGGCATCCAAGACGTCGATCAAGAGGTGGAGGACCATCAGCAGAAATCTTCCGTGACAAGCAAGCTGTCTTTTGTCAATGTTCGTCATCGTCCAAGCTGTCAAAAAATCTACGACCTGCGAATCGACGAGGGCCAGCCACCCATGAAGCTTCCAAGACCCGAAAGCCTAGAGCGCCAGGGGTGGTGAGGTGTGAGACTTCTGAAGTTATGCCAGGGAGGGCGCCTGAAAGAGGCAATCTGGGAGGGCAACGGCCCACGGGACAGGCGGCCCTCTTTTTTGACTTCTATATTAATTTGGACGGGTGGGACAACCGCAGGCCCGACAGTGGGACAGGCACGGCGGCTTTTCCAGGGGTCATGTAAATGAAGTCTGAGTCTTTGACTCACGAGTGTGGAAATCAAGGTGAGAAGGAGGAAGGAATGGTTACTGATCCCCGTCGAGTGTCACCGTTGGCTGTTCGACGCTTATCTCTGTCCCCTTGAGTCCCGAACCAGATCCCTGGTC